AGGTGGGCAGATGGATGCGTGGACGGATGGACAGGACGGATGGACGGACGGATGGGATAGATGGATGTATGGGGCGGATGGATGACGGACACATGGATGGATGGGTGGATGGATGGATGGATGAGACGGATAGATGGACAGATGGACGGATGGATGGACAGATGGATAGGTGGGTAGATGGATGGATGGATGGGTGGATGGACGGACGAGTGGATGGGTGAATGGATGGTGGAGGACGATGGATAGATGGATGGATGGGTGATGGATGGATAGATGGATGGGTGGACAGACGGATGGATGGATGGATGGATGGACGGACGGGTAACGGAACAAAGATGAGGGGTCCCAGAGTGGGTGATAGGTGCAGTTACACGAGAAAATCTAGAAGCCAGAAGTAACTGTTTAGAAAAAGCAATTCCAGACTGGGCCAGAGAGCTACAAGCCCTAAGTAACACTGGGACTTCTCTCCCGGCCGAGCAGCCGCCAGCGCTTCCAGAGGGACCCTGCCCTCTGTGGAGTCTGGGACGTCCGGGGAGAAGAGCGGGCAGTTGGTGAGAAATGGAGGTTTGCCCTCAACACCCTCCCGCCGCTTCTACCTGGCCAGATTCTGTGTGGATCCTGAAGCACTGCCCGGAAGGGGCACAGTGCTCCCACGGACGGAGCTGGGCGCATGGGAGCAGGACACAGACTGCACCCGCCCCACACAGGGGCCTGGCATCTCTGGGTCTCATGGCAGAATAGCTGTGAGTGCCACCGAGGGTGAGAGGCCTTGGGACTGTGAAGGGGTATGGGCTCACTGTTCCATTACCCGTCCATCCATCCACCTTCACCCATCCACCCACCCATCCATCCATCCATCCACCCACCCCCGCCCGGGTGCCCCTCCAGCCCAATCCCCCTCAGGACCCCAGGGGCAGGCACAGTGGGCCATCAAGCCTGTGCTCAGCTACCAGGCGGGACTGTCCCTGAGCCCAGGGGCCACATGCAGCGGGCGGCAGGGCTGGCTGGGCTGACCGTCCCCGGGCTCCAGGAAGCTGGGGATCCCGTGGGGAGCACGTGCCCCCCGAGCCCCAGCCGTGCCACGCAAAAGGCAGGAAGGAAGGAGGCGGCGCAGCAGGCCACTGGGCACCGGGCAGGCGGGTGGCACCACTGCTACAGACCCCCAACTTCCACGCACCAGACGCTGGCAAGAGACGCAAGTAAAACGCGGAGGCCAAGCGACAGGGGTGGGTGCATCTGGGACGTGAGGTTGCGCTCCAGCCACGCTTGCTGCCCCCTCCCAGTAGTCAGAGGTCCCAGTTCCAGCACCAGCCACCCGTGGGCACTGGCGTCAGCTGTCCCCATCCCCAACTGACAGCGCCACCTCGGGCCCTGGCAGCCACTGAACAGCTGGGCCAGCTCAGGCCGGAGCCCAAGAGGTTCGTGCCTCTGTGCCCACGCCCAGCCCGAGCAAGTCCCGACGCAGCGGCCAGCGCGCCCCAGAGCGATGGGGACGGCCTCAGCACTCAGCAGACCGGGCAGCTAGGGGGTCCCGACCCTGCAGACGCCCGAGGACACGGCACCCGCCTTCCCACACGGACATGTCCACGCAAGCGACAGGCAGCGTCACTAGGGACAGCAGAGTCAGAACAAGTGTGAGCCACAGGGTCTGTGTGAGCACGAGCTGTGCTTCGAGCACGGGGACTGTCGGTGCATGTTTGCACGTGAGTGTGAATGAACATGGACGAGCGGGTGAGCCTGTGTTACCCCGAGTGTATGTGCGTGTCCCTGCAAGTGCGTGCGTGTGGCTGCAAGTGGGAACTTGGGGCATGGCTACCAGCACAGAGCTGAGGGGGTGTGCACATGAGGGGGTTGTGTGCATGGGGGTTGCACCTGGGGGGTGCGCATACGAGATATGAGGAAGTGTGTGCACATGAGGGGTGTGCATGTGGGTGTGCTCATGAGGCCATGAACGCATGTGGGTCTGTGTGCACATAGGGGAGTCTGTGTGGGTGGGTGTGTGTATGTGAACACACATGGGTGTGCACACAGGAGGGCGGTTGCGTACACATGTGTAAGTGGGATGTGTGGATACATACAGGTGCACGCACATGTGTGGGAATGGGAGTGTGCACTGTATGTGTGGCTCTGTGTATGAGTGTGTATACATGTGGGTATGTGTGCACATGGGTGGGTGCATGTGTGCCTGTGTGTGGGATGTGGATGTGTGGTGCTTGTGTGTGCATGCACAAATGTGTGCATGTGTTGGACAGCATTGGTTTGTCCTTCCCCCGCCCCTGCAGGGAGCTTAGGTTTATTGAGTTACACCCAACACAGTGCTCCCGAGGCACTCCCATTCCTCTGTGTTTAACTTCTCCTCTGTGCTCTGCTTCCCGGATCTGTTAATCACCTGTATCCCCTTATAAGACCCTGTCGCTTGTACAGTCAGTTCTTCTAAGGACTCTGGGTCTTGTATTTGTAAGTGAAATATTGCTTTTCTCTTTCCCTTATCTCTTTGCAGTTCAATTTAGAGCAATGTCCTTTTTGTATAGACACAGGAAGACAGTTGATGCTACGCTTTTGTAACTTGGGAGTTAACTGACTCAAAATACTATTTATTCCTGGGCATCTGTCACATTTACTCAACTTAAACCTCAGTTGCCCTTAGTTCCTTGCATCCAAAACAGGGTTCTGACGAAGGGACTGGATGGACACAGGGCAAGCTGTGAGCTACTCTGTCATCAAAACAGGGCAGGCTAAGTGTCACAAAACTTGTAATAAGAGCACGGTCGTGGACAACTGTCAGAACCCAAAGAAAACTGCCTGGATAAGGAACCTGCTGGGGTTAGGAAGACTAATCTAGCCTAAGGACTATAGTCTGGGATATAAATGTTCCTTTAAGCTTAATGAATCTCCTACTGTGTCCGCACAAAGTAAGTAGAAATTATTAGGAAGTAAATTCAAGATGACCATTTAACTGGATCTGGACTAAGGAAAGGGGAGAGTAATACGCCCCTAGATGGTACCCGCCCTTGGGCGGTGTAGGATAACATTAGTTTCTCCCTGCATTCAGGGAGCTTAGGTTTATTGGGTTACACCCATCACAGTGCTCCTGAGGCACTCCCATTCCTGTGTGTTTCTCTTTAATCTCTTCTCTGTGCTCTGCTTCCCCAACTGGTCAATCACCTTTATCCCCAAATCAGACTCTGTTGATTTGTATTTGTAAGTGAAATACTGCTTTTCTCTTCTCCTTATGTCCTTTTGCATAATTAATTCAGAACAATGTCCTTTTTGTATAGACACAGGAAGACAGTTAATGCTATGTTTTTGCAACTTGGGAGTTAATTGACTCTGAATAATATTCCCACTCCTGGGCATCTGTTTTCTCAACTTAAGGCTCAGTTGCCCTTAATTCCTAGAACCCCAAATGGAGGGTCCCGACGAGGGACTGGATAGACCCAGGACAAGCTGTGAGCTACTCTGACATCAAAAGGGGCCAAGCCAAGTGCCATAATGGATCACTGTCCTCCTGTTGTTCATCGATTTGCTCAAGTGGGCCCAGTAATGCCTCCATTGTGACAATTGTTACTGTGTTTGGCATATCGAATACGTCACGGGTGGCTTGCCAGGCTTTGCCGTGCGAGCGAGATACTGTCGCTAGCTTGCCGGGCTCTCCAAGATGGGCGGAGGAATCTAACTTGGGTCAGCCATGTTGGCCGCTTGCAATGTAAACGCTCTACCCACTGTGCTATCGCTCCAGCCCAAGCGCCATAATGTTTAGCTGTAAGTTAAGAGCATGGTGATGGACAAATTCTGTCATGATCCAAAGAGTAACAGCTGGATTAGGACGAATCTGGCCTGAGCACTGTAGTCTGAGATCTACAGCGAGATGCCCCCAGGAGAGCCACCCTATAAGCCTAATGTGTCTCTGTGTCCATACAAAATTACTAGTATTAAGAAGTACAATTAAGATGAATGCTTAAGTGGTCATTGGACTAAGGTAAGAAGAAACACACACCTAGGTGGTATTTCACCCTTGAGCTTTCAGATGTTGACTGTGCTACCCCCAATGCTCGAGGTTGGGTGTGAGACAGAGTGGAGAGGCTAGCACAGGGGACAGGAGGAGACAGGCGGTAGGGGGCAGAGTGAGACAGGACCGGGCGCGTGGGGAGAACGGAACAAACGGCAACTGATCACCAACGAGCCTGGCGGCCCTGTTCACTCCTTCACGCGTCTGATGGCGGCAGCGGGTGGGGAAGCGGCTCATGGCCACCGAACGCACGACGCACATGGCAGGCAAGTGAGACCAGATCACGCCACCGCCATCTCCCTGCTGGATGAGAATCTGTCCTAGAAGCAGCTTCCCGAGGGAAGGGCTTGACCTTTGTTGACTGTGCAACCACACCTATGTGTATTCACTGCACTCAACTCCGTGGACGCGCTACAGAACAAGGCTGCGAGAAGGGCGCACGACAGGAACGAGGGGCAGGAGAACTGGAACGGGCGCGCGGTGAGACGGGAAAATGGGCAGAGTGACACTAGAACAAGATGGAGACTGAGTTAACGGTACTGATCACCCGGCAGCCTGGCGGCCCTGTTCCCTCCTTCGTGCCTACGTTGGCAGCGGCCGGCCAGGGTGGGGAGACGGCTCGTGGCCACCGAATACGTGTGGCATCGCCCAGATGTTTTGAAGACACACACATGTTAAGTGTATACGGTATACGTATACACGCCAGTGCATACATGTGGCAGGTGTATGTGAGTGCACATGTGTATACTTGTGGGTGTGTGCACGTGTGTGCCCTGCTCCAGCTGGCCTGTCCCTGTGGCCAGCTCACAGGCCTCAGCCCTGCTCCTGGCTTCACCAGCACGACAGTGGCCACGGTCACCCTCTGAGGCTGGGACGCTTCCAGGCGTCTGTCTGCCACACCCGGGGTCTCCTCGCCATGGGAGCTGATGCCAGCTTCACCCCGAGTACACAAGACGGGGTGGGTCTGTGCTGGTGGGGCAAGCCCACTCACCTTCCCGAAGTCCCGGACATCGAAGAGGTCAAAGGGGTCGAAGAGGTCAGAGCTGCGGAGTCCAAACACGTCATGGCCCACCCGGAGGAAGGTGCGGATGTTCTTCAGACACAGGAACTGTGGGCACAATGGACAGGTCAGGGTCGCGTCCAACCCGCCTGCGTCACCCCCAACCACACCCACAGCCTTGCCTGGCGACTCAGTGAATCTGCACACAAGAACACATGTGAAAACACGTGCGCTGACGTGTGCTGCACACGCTTACACGTGTGCATGCATAGTGCTGCCTGTGCGTATGGGGATACCTGGGCTCGTGCACATGCACGTGAGGGCACACACACCTACACGGGCACACTCCACCCGAGAAACAATTCTACACACGCACATACACCCCGTCCTAATGGACAGACCACCGAGGCAGGCACTGGACAAGTGATGGGGCCCCACGAATAGCCACAGAGGCCGGAGAGGCCCTGCCCAGCTCAAGAGGCCAGAATTCCCTGACGAGCCCCGGGACCACCTGCGTGGGGGGGGGGGGGGGGGACAGGGCAGGGCATGGCCTGGCGGCAGCTCAGCCTAGAGTCCAATCCCACCCAGAGTCTAAGTATCCATCCATGGCGGCGGCCCGGACCTCCAGGCACCTGCAGGCTGCAGGCGTGGGTGTGCCCAGGAAACCCGTCCCTCCTGCCCGCTTCATTCCCACAGACGGCCCCTGCCGCGAGGGAGGCCAGGGACTGGGTGGCCAGTGCGACTCGGCCGCCCACCTCTGCACGCAGGCGGGAGACTTCGAGGTCAAGGGTACAGTGGGGGGGGGGCAGAGTCCAGCACTGGGGCCGGGGGGGGTGTCCTTCAGGCCAGAGCATGGCCCGGGGCCAGGGGAGCTGGACAGAACAGAGCAGACGCTCTAGCAGTCAGCCATGGCAGGGCCTGAGGGCAGCGTGAGTGGACACGGGGCTGCACAGCCCGTGTGTTCACCCTGAGGTATAAGTAAACAGACCACAGGAGTAGGCCGCGAGCCCACAGACCTGCCCAAGCACTTCCGGGTCAGAGTCCACCTGCTGGCCCCCCCGGCGCCTGTCTCCAATTCCCGCCGCGCCTATTTCCATCTGTCCGCGGCGCCCGGTCCACAGCTAATTACACGGCTGGCGACCGTAATGGCCGTGATGGCTGCCACGCGGGACAGGGCACACAGCCCGGCCCAGCGCCCAGCGCCCCCCCAGGCTCCTCAGTCTCCAGTCACAGAGCGGTCTAGGCTGGGAGGAGTTTGGGGGCAGCAGCTGCTGGCCAGTGGGGCCGCACCAATCTCCACACCTCCTTCATGCTCAGAGAACGACAAGCCATATGATCACTCTCCCTGTCCTGAGGAAACAAGGCCCAAGGCACATCTTCCCGTGCCCCCCCCCCCCCAGTGCCATTCCTCCACCCCGGGAGGGACCACAAGGGGCTGACCAGGGAGGACTCTGAGAGGTGGCCCCAAGGCACGTTTCACAGGGGCTGAACGCAGGAGCAGCTCCGAGAGCGCCAGCACAGGACTGGGACTCCTGACTGCCCCGCTGTCTCTACGACTGCCCCTGCGATCCACCCCTCAGCGCCCACTCCCACCGGACCCTCCCACACTCCCCGTGTGCCCATGCCATGACATAGCCCACGTGCCACAGCATAGCCCACACACCATGGCATAGCCCACGTGCGTATGCCCACATCTGTCCACACGCCCCAGTGTCTTGCCCACACACACTCCTGGTCCCCCAAGCAGCTGCCCCAGGAAACCTGTTCCCTTGCCCTTGCTGTACCAGGGGGGTGCCCGGGTGGGGGGAGAAGTGGCAGCTGTGGACGTGCTGGCCTCCACCTGCCCCTCAGCTCGGCCCGAGCCTGGCACGGGGCAGGGAGGATCCAGATTTTGAGTCTCTGGGTCTGGCTCTGGTTTCAGGGGTACTCCTGTCTCTGTGCTCTGGGGATCAAGCCTGTCCCATGGCCTGACCCATCTCCTGAGTCTGTTCGTGCTGGGGTCACCTCGGCAAATGGGGGGAGGGTGCTCAGAGGCCGCGTGGTGCCAGGCACGTGCTTGACAAGCCTCCTCTGCCCCCCAGGGAGGCTGCCTTGGGCACCCTGCATGGGCCCTCCGACTCTGACCTGGGGACCACCAGTCTGGCCCAAGGCTTCCCAGGCCAAGGCTGTTGTCGACAGCGTGGGGATGGAGGGCCCAGGGGTCGGTCCTCGGCAAAGACCTGAGGGAGCGAGAGAAACTCCATCTGGCTCAGGAATCAACAGAGGAAAAAGAAGTCTGGCCCGGTGGGAGGCAAACACGGTGAGGAGCCACCGCCACGCCCGGGGCAGCTGCACCGGGCTGAGCACTCGTGGAGCACCAAGTGATGAGTACTCACAGGAGACCAAGCGGCAAGCGGCAGGGGGGCGCAGAGCTGGGTGGGAGATGGTGACCAGCTCCTTCGAACTGAGGCCACTCCCCGTCATGCAGATACCCCCCATGCCAGCCCAGAGCGCTGCGTGGGGCCTGGGACACGCCAGCCTCAGTCTCCTCCGCGGGAAGGAAGTCCTACAGTCCTGACAGGGCCCAGCTCGAGGCAGCTGGACACAGCCCCTGCAGCCTGCCCGGAGGGATGGGGTGGCGGGGCGGGAGATGACCACACCCTCTGGGCCACCCCAAGGTGCTGCCAGCACGGGGAAGACCGGACCCCGGAAGGCCCCAGGAGCAAGACACAGATGTCAGGCCAGGGTGACACCGCCGGGGGGCAGCACAGGCAGGCGCTGGCCCTGCACAGGCCCCCGGGTCCCTGGAGCCTGACCAGGAGTGACCCTGAGCACAGGGCCAGGAGTCAGCCCTGAGTACTGCCAGCATAGTCCTAAATTCCTCCTGATGCCTGGGTGAGACAGGACCCCCCGAGCTCCGTGGGCACCCCACAGGCCACGGAGCTTCACCCCACGGAACAAGCCCCCGCCCCAGCCACCGTGGACTGGGCCACCAGCTGGGAGAGGAATTAATTCTCCATTCTATTTCTGCCTCCCCGAGCACCAACCCAGCAGCTTCATTTCCATTTAAGCGGTGCAGCTGTGGGGTCTCGGGAGGGGGCGGGGTGTGGGGCCGACCCCCGAGCTCACGGCTGGGGGCTTCAGACGTGCGGAGGCGGGGGCGCCAGCACTCTCAGATCCCAGCCTGCCGCAGCGAACCCCACCCTGGCTGCCCAGGGGTCCCCAGCTCACAGGGCTGCAGGCAGGGAGGGGCCGGGAGGGTGGGCTCGCACCAGGGGCGAAGGCCTGAGTCCCACCGGCACACAGGTGGGTGGCTCTGCTAGGTGCGGCCTTCCCAGCCCTGGTGCCCGGTGCCCCCGCGGGCCGCACACGGCTGGGGGGGCTGCGGCCTCAGGCCTAGGTACCTCTCCGGCACAGGCGCACACACACACGCCCTCCACTGATGGCACCGCCTGGCACTGCCTACTCCACCACATGCTTGCACATACGCATGTGCATTAACATGCATACACATACGCACACAGGCCCTGACGGGATGTGGGACCCCAGGGCGGAGACCCCAGCCACTCCCTCAGCTGCCCTGCTGGCTCTCGGGCACAAGGCTGCCCTCCTGCCACCACCACTGTTCACAGGCCACCCAGAGAGCCGCGGCCATTCAGCGCCCACTCCCGGGGGCTGCTGTCCACAGGTGCCTCGGGCCTTTCACGGCATGTGTCGGGCCAGGGACCAGGCTCAGGACTGGCCCCGAGCCCACCAGTGCCAGCACACGCTGGCAGGCAGCACAGAGAGGGCGCCTGGGGCAGAGCGTGTGCGGGCCCTTGTGGGCGCAGGGTCCTGTACTCGTGGGGCGGAGCGTGTGCAGGACTGTGTGCACACGAGCGTATGTGGGCCCGTGTGGGCGCAAGGCTGTGCACGCGCAGGGCGGAGCATTGCGGGCCTGTGTGCACGTGGGGCAGAGCGTGTGCAGGACTGCGTGCACGTGGGGTGGAGTGTGTGAGGGCTGTGTGGGCTTGGGGCGGAGTGAGGCACCTCCCTCCCAAGCCTCCTGGGACGCCCACACCGTGGGAAGCAGCTGCTGCCCCCACCCCTGCCTGCTCCGGGTCACAGCCAGGCACCGGGTCCCCCGAGAGCCACCGAGCAGCCTCTGGCCCCTCCCCGCTCCCCGCCTGGGGGACCCCATGTGGGCCTCACCCACACGCCCACACGGCGTCCAGCAGCGCGTGGAAGAAAACCAAATCAGGCGCCCCACCCCCTGTACCCACGGGCCCGAGGGACCCGCCAGGGTGGTGTCGGGCAGAGGCCCCAGAGGCAGACGAGGCGTGGGGAGCCCAACAGAGCGGGCACAGCCGCAGCGACGCTCAGACACGGGGTGTCGCCAGAGTGACCCCAGGGCTGCCGGGGAGCAGAGTCGGTGCGGCAGAAGGACAGGCGTGGCTGGACAGACGGGAGCTGGACTCTGGGCGGAGCGCCATTGTTTGCTGGGCAGCAGCCCTGGGGCAGGAATGTCCCCGCAGCTGCGGGCGCACCCTGGGGTGGGGGCGGGGCAGTGGCGCCCAGGGAAGCTGAGCTGCTCAGAAGGTGCTCAGCCACGGGCTATTTCGGGAAGCGAGAGGGCAGCGGAGCGTAGTGGTGCACGGCCCAGCTGGAGGGGCCTGGGGGGGATACCGCAGGGGACGGATGGACCCCGAGCCCCAGGGAGCAGAGGGAGGGTCCCGCCAGCCCAGACTCTGGGAAGAGGCAGTGCAGGGGTCTCCAGGGTTTGGCCTCGGGGGGGCCCAACCCCCAGCCGAGATAGAGTAGGACACGGAAGTGCGACAGGCTGAGGATGTCCAGTGATGAAGGGGGTGGGCAGGTCATACACTGCAGTGCGGAGTGCCCGGAGCCACCCACAAGGGCATACAACAGGACCCCTCAGCCAGAGCCTGGGGTCCCCCATCACGGCAGAAACAGAGGGGCACACGGCCCGGGGCAGGTGCAAGCCCAGTCACTGTCACCCAGACACTGTCACCCCAGGAACCCCAACTGTCACTCCACAGTTACCAACACTGTCACCCCACTATCACGCAGTCACCCCACATTGTCACCAGAGTCACCCACTGTCACCCCACACAGTCGCCCTACCCCATCCCCCGCACTGCTCCAGGCAACCGGGTTTGGGCGGGCTGAGCTGCCCCAGGCCCAGGGTCGCGGCCTCTCTGCGGGAGCCCGTCTCACTGCCCCCAGACAGGGCCACGGCCAATGCAGGGAGCGGGCGAGCAGGCCCCACAGGGACCCCCGAACCACACTGAGAAGGCCCAGGTGGGCGGGGAGTGGCTCCCCAGGCCTGGCCTGCCCCAGCCGGTCCCTGCACACCTGAGGAGAGCTGGTGGGCAGCAGGGGCAACCCGGGCTGTGCCGTGGCCCCATTCTGCCTGTCCACCTGCCTCTTTCCCAGCAGAACCAACACCCCGAGGGGCTCCTCCAGCTGTGCTGGGCCCAGGCTCACCCCCTCACCCATCTGCATCCCTAAAAAAGCCCAGAGAGTGCCCCGAGGGCCAACCACGTCCATGATGCAGCTTCTTCAGAAACAAACACTCCCCAGACCCTGCAGGAGGCAGGGAGCTGGGGGAATCCAGGAAGACTCCCTGGAGGAGGGGAGGGGCCCGGCAGAGAGATCTGAAGCTGCAGAATGGTACTGGAAGAAAGTCCAATGATAGCACAGCGAGGAGATGCTGGCCTGCACATGGCCAACCCAGGTTCCCTCCCCTGCACCACACGTGGTCATGCGAGCCCACCCGCCAGGGAGTGACCCAAGTGCAGAGTAAGTCGAAAAAAAGCAGACGGGCGGCCAACACGAGACGGGGCCCTCAGACGCAGCCCCTGAGAAGGGAGGGCCCCAGCCCACAGGCCCCAAGCAGACGGCAGCCCAGTGCATGGGTGCGTGCACATGTGTGCTCGTGAGTGCACTGTCAATGTGCACCCACCTGTGTACGTGCACACTGCTGCGCTCAAGAGTGTATCTGCATGTGTGTGCGTGTGCACGTATGTGTCCACATGTGTACATGTGTGTGTGTACGTGTGTGCACAAGCATGCATGTACAAGGCCCATAGTGCCAGGGGACATGTTCTCGGGGTGGGGTGGGTATGCGGGACCCGGAGCCCAGAGGTCCCCATGCGCAGTCTGGGGTCTCTCCCACCCGGGGGGCAGTGAAGAAGGAAAGGCCGGAGGGGCAAGACAGGGCGGCCACTGGGCGGAGCAGCGGATACGAGGTCGCCATCCGGGACACGGCGGAGGATGTTGACGGGGGACAGCGGCCACGGGACTTCCTGGTGCAGACAGACAAGGCCAGGACAGCGGCCTGGCCCCGGGACACAGGCGCCCGCTGCCCACAGGCAGCTGCGGGCGGGAGGGGGCTCGCAGGGTGCGCCCCGGACAGGCCCTGCAGGCCCATGCGGGTGTGCTGGGGACTCCCTGCATCCCACACTCAGAGGCTGGGGGAGCGGGGTGGGCTGGTGGTAGGCGCCCTGCCTTTCCCACGCCCTGCTCTGGGCCTGGCAGACAATGCAGAGCCAGAGGTCAGAGTAACGCTGCCCAACCAGGGCCACTCTGGATGCCCAGGGGTGGGCGGGGGACGCGGGAACCTGACAATTCTGGAGGCTGGTGCAGGCCACGAGCCCCCGAGAGCACAAGGCCTCTCAGCCCTTAGCCAGGCGAGGACCAGGGAGCGCACGGTCACTACCGAGTCCCGCAGGCAGTGGGCAGGAACCCAGCTCAGGCCACTCCAGGGGGGCTCAGATCACGGGGTTCAGCTCACAGGGGTCAGTCCACGAGGGGCTCAGCTCACAGGGCCTCAGTCCATGAGGGGCTCAGCTCACAGGGGTCCGTCCACTGGGGTCAGTACATAGAGCTCAGGTCACAGAGGTCAGTCCACGGGGTCAGCTCATGGGGGTCAGTCCATGGGGGCTCAGCTCACGGGGGTTAGTCCACAGGGGTCAGTCCACGGAAGTCAGCTCACAGGGGTCAGTCCACGGGTTCAGCTCATGGAGGTCAGTCAATGGGGCTCAGATCATAGGGGTCAGCTCACAGGGATCAGTCCATGGGGGGCTCAGCTCATGGGGGTCAGCCACAGGGGCTTCACCGCAGCCGCTCTGCAGGGCCAAGGTGGAAGTTAGTTGCAGGTGCTCCGAGCACAGTGGGGGTCCCCAACCCTGGCCCCAGGTGCCCAGCCTGCGCTGTGGGTCAGTGGCAGCCAAGCCAGGCAGGGACGTGTCTGGGGGTGAAGGACAACTGTGTCCCACCACAGCGCTGGACAGGCCGCGGCCAGTTCTGCCCTTGGGGACGCAACGTTACTGGAGGCAGCAAGTCTTCAGCCCCCCGCCGCGGACCCTGCGACATACATGAGGCAGGGCACTCCCAGACCACAGACTTGGGGTCCTCAAGGGTCCCCAAATACAAAGCATCCTCGGGGTTACGCCAGAGGCACCCTCAAGATCAGCTATGCACCCACCGCCCACGTCGCCAGCCAGTGCCTTCCGGTGCCCTGGGCATCGAGGTGCCCACCCGAGCCCCTTGTGGAATAGCCCCCGTGGGGGTGGGGGGACGGGACCCCATAGCTCCCGGGCAGCACAGGCCGGGGACATAGCAGGAGTGGGCAGGAGTGGCTGGTGGCCTCTACCGGCTGGAAGCCCCCGCTCTCCTCTGCCCTCACGACTGACCAGCCTGGACAGAGGGGGGCCTGGCCGCTCTGCAGGGCGTCATCCAGCAGGGCGTGTCCTGTCACACCCGCGGGAAGCAAGGCAGGAGAGTGTGTCAGGCCACGACCCTTCACACAGCCAGGCGGGGGCATGGCGCCTGCAGATGAGGCCAGAAGGTCGTGCTCAGTTCAGCTGTGCTCAGGGGTCAGTCCCCGCCCAGCCAGTCCTCCCACTGCCCTGCCCTCCAGCCCCAGGGTACGAGCCTACAACCGCCTCCCTTGCCTGTACATGGGAGCAGGGGGTGAAAGGGGTGCAGAGGGGACCCCCAAGCCATGAGGCCTCAAGTACTGGAGGACGGGGCCCGGGTCGGGGGAGCCCCACCAACACCCCCCATGCACGAGAAGAGCCCCCCGCCCTTCCCAGGTCTGAGATGTTCCAGGAAGCAGAGGAGGGAGGTCCCCAGGAGAGAAGCCGGGTGCCGTCTCCACAGAACAGGGCCCCTCCGGTGGGCAGGGCACCAGGCCCTGCTGGACCCAAAATGCAGGGCTCGCAGGAGTCACAAGGAGGCAGGGGCCAGGGGAGGCGGGGATGGCACAAGGGGGGCTTCCTGGGAGAGGGGGCCCCAGACACACACACAGGTGCCTCCTGACCAGACAGACAGCACGGGGGAGCACGGGGGGGGGGGGCGCTTATCCTGTTTACAGGTGTCCCCAGTTCTGTCCTCAGAGCCCCATGTGGGCCTCCCAGCACTGCTAGGAGTGAGCCCCGAGCACAGAGCCGGGAGTCAGCCCTGAGCACTGCCAAGTGTGGCTCAAAACAAAAACCTTCCCTAAAAGCGGGGGCGTCTTCCAGCCCAGCACAGGGGTTGCAGGTCGGAGACAGTCCTGGGACCCCCAGCCCGGCCTGCCGCTGGGCTTCCTCCTGGCCCCAGGCGAGGCCCCACACACCTCATCAGCAGAGTGAAGATAGCTGCCGTGCAGGAACTGAGCAAGTTAACGAGGTGCACCCTGCCAGTTCCATGGCTGTGCCCGTGGGGCAGCCCCACACACGCCCCAGGGCGCTCCCGCAGCAGGTGCCCCCTGGGCTGAGACGGCCCTGAGGCCGGAGCAGGAGGCAAACAGGGCAGCGGAGGCGTTGGGCGCCAGGGAGACAGGCGTGCGCACCACGACCCTAGAAAGACACCCTAGCACCCCCCCCCCCCCGGGCTCCGGGCACAGTGCCACAGCAGAGCTCTTGGTCCCACGCAGTGTCTGGGGCTCAGGACAAGGCACCGGGGTCCCCTCTGCACTGGGTGGACCCTCCAGGACGGGTGCCGAGCCCCAAGTCCTGCCCAGGAACCTGTCCCCCCACCCCCCGGCCAGGGCAGCGAGGACCCCGCTGGGACAGGGACCGCACCCCACCGCAAAGCTCACCACGGCCCCCCGGGGCACACATGCCCAGCAGCTCACCCTACCCCGAAGGGCTGCCCCCTGGAGGACCTGGGAAACAAGGGCGTCCTTCCCGCGGTCCTGCCTCAGGTGGGGGCCCTCCCTGGCTGAACCCCCAAGTCCCAGGCTGGGCGGCTGCAGGGCTCAGGGAGGGGATGCGCAGGGCGCCTGGAAAGGCAGCAGCAAGGCCAGAGGGCAGAGGCCAGGGGCCAGCGGTGACTCACCGCCTCCCCCCACGGTCCTGTTTTGGGGTGGATGGCGCTGACCACGCGGGCAGGCAGCAGGGGGCCACGGGGCCACGGAGAAAGGTCCGGCCCGCCGGGCAGCCCGCAGGGGCGGGCCGGGGTGGGGGGGACCGGCCTAACTGCGCTTGCAGGGACCCAGGAGGCCTGCTCCCCACGAAGCCCCGCAGATGACAAAGGCCACATCTGAGGGTCTGAGGGAATCCTCTGGGTTCCGGGGTCCTGTCCTGGACAAGGCGGGGCCTCACTCGGGGTTCCCGAGGGCCTCCGAGCCCCTCCAGGCAACAGCCGGAGTCAGCCGGCGCCGGAGGGGCAGGCGGGGGGGCGAGGGCGAGCGCGCGGGGGGGGCGAGGGGGGCGCGGGGGCCGGCCGGGGCAGCGGGGGAGGGGGCGCCGGGGCCGGCCGGGCAGCGGGCGAGGGGGCGCGGGGGCCGGCCGGGGCAGCGGGCGAGGGGGCGCCGGGGCCGGCCGGGGCAGCGGGCGAGGGGGCGCGGGGGCCGGCCGGGGCAGCGGGCGAGGGGGCGCCGGGGCCGGCCGGGGCAGCGGGCGAGGGGGCGCCGGGGCCGCGCTCCGGGCAGCGGGCGAGGGGGGCGCGCCGGGCACGGGGGCGCCGGGGGCCGCGCTCCGGGCAGCCCGGCGCCCGCCGCCCCGGCTCACCTGCGACATCTGCGGCCGGAAGTTGATGTCCTTGGGGTCCACGGAGCCGGGGCAGAGCTGGTGCAGCAGCTGGCACAGCAGCACGCCGTCGCGCAGCGCCTGCGCCAGGTCGAAGACGGCGGCCGAGGGCCAGAGCACGCGGTGGTCGTGCGGCAGGACGCGGCAGTCCACCAGCCAGCGGCCGCACTGCCGCCACTGCTCCATGGCGCGCTCAGGGCGCGGCGCGGGCGCGAGTGCGGCGGCCGCGGGGCATCCCGGCCGCCCGCGGGTCGGGGCGGGGCCTGCGGGCGTCCACGTGCGCCCCTCACGCGCCCCCCGCCGCCGCCGCCGCCGCCGGGCCCCGCATGCCGAGACAAAGCCCGGCCGGGCCGCTTTGTTCCCGCGCGGGCTCCGCGCCCCGCGCCCCGCGCCCGACTCGCGGCTCCGGCGGCTGCGGCGGCTCCGGCGGCTCCGGCTCGCGGGGGGCGCGGGGGGCGCGGCCGGGGCGGGGCGCGGCCGGGCGCCGCCCCCGCCCCCACTTCCTGCCCCGCGGCCGACCGCGCCGGCGGCGGGAGGGCGGGGGCCGCGCAGCCCCCCGCGCCGCACAAAGGCCACGGGCCGGGCAGGGGCGGGCGGGCGCCCAGCGCAGCGCCCGGGGCCCCTTCCGGCCGCTCCCGGGGCGGGGGGGGCGCGGGCCGGCCGGCCGGGACCCCCGCGGCCCCGCCTCGCCTCCGACGCCGACCGCCGCGCCGCCGAGGACCGGGCCCCGGGCCCCGGGCCCCCACCCGCGTCCCCGCCCGGGGGGCTTCCTCCCGCGGCCCCGGGCCTTCCTGGCGGCCCGGCGTGGACACTCGCGCCGCGGGGCCCGCGCCCGGCGCGCGTCTGCTGCTGCCCCCTGGCGGGTGACCGGGCACGGCCGCCCCCGCCCGGAGTCGGGGGTCGCCGGGGGGCCTGAGACCCACCACTTGCAGAGCGCCGCGGGCGCCCCCGTGGGCCCCGGGAGGCCGCAGAGCGGGTGCCTTGCGCAGGTCCGGCACAAGGCAAGCAGAGGACCCCATTCCAGAACATTCCGGCGCCCTCCGTGCCCTCGGGGGCCAGGGCAGCGTGCAGAGCCAGGCTGCAGCTCACGTGAGGGGCAGCTGGAGAGGGGGCCCTGGGGAGGCCGCGAGCTCAGCACCCCCGAGCCCCCCCCCAGGTGTCAGGGACCACCCCTGCAGAGAGGCGGATGGACCTCTCAGCAGGAGTGTAGCACCAGCCCCATACCGGGTCAGGCGCCACAGCTGCCACCTGCATGACCCTCGAGCCCGGTGGGCTGCCCTCACACCCAGACTCGGTCTCCTGCTGAGAGGCCCCCAAATCCTGTCCTGGGAAGGAGCTGGTGTCTGCCTGCCCCAGCCTTTATACTTGCCGGCCCCTACCCACACTTCCCGCCCCCACCCCACAACCACCAGTCTGCACTGCCAGGGGGCAGTCCTGCCCTCCACTCCAGGCAGAGACCCTGTGGCAGGAGAGCCTGCACCAGGAGAGACGCACAGCCCTGCCCACACGCCTGATGCTCACACAGCCCTCTGCACGGCCCCACTCACACCACCTGACACAGCTGAAAGAGAGGCACTGGCCCGGCTCACCTGTAGGCCCCAAGACCAATTTCCCGCAAGGTGGGAACCCCTAACTAGTGGGGAGACAGGACAGGTGCTCCTGGCAGCCCCTTCCCCAGGACAGGGATGGTCGGAGGCCGTCCTCAGGGTCTCCCCACAGGCACTGCTGTCCCCTTGGCCCCTGGGAAGCCGGCAGAATCAGCGCGGCAGGGCTCCGGCCAGGACGGGGGCCCGAGACGGGGCTTTAGGGAAGGTGTCCACCCGCCCCGGACAACACATAGAACAGGCCGTGACCCACTGGCCTCCACGCTCAGACAGGCAGCTGCCATGTGATTCACAGGCAGGTCCCAGGGCAGGTGGGGGGGGAGGGGCCTGGGGGGGGAGGGGCAGCAGAGCTGAGGGGACTGGTGGGCGTGGTTTCACCTCTGCTGCAGACCCTTGATGGGAGGGGCCAGGGGACCCCATCTCCCCACCTCCTCCACATCCACTGGGTGGCCCCAGGTTCCCCCAGTTGGAACCAGGAGTCACCAAGATTAGCTGGGGCGCTCTTCCTGCCTGTCTGGGCCCCTGAGACCCTCGGCAGCAGCCCGGGCCCTCATGCCTGGGTCACAAGCAGCCCAGCTCTGCCTCCATGCCTGGGGCAAGCCCGGGGTCTTGCTCCCACCACAGACCATGAGGCCCTCGGGCTTCTGCACAGGCCCACCAGGAGCAGCAGCCTTCCCGAAGACCCCACGCAGGGGGCTGAGACCAACAGCAGGGACTGGCCTTGCCCACGGCCCACGGGGGTTTGATCCCCGGCACCACCAGGAGTGACTGCTGAGCAGAGCCAGGGGTCAGCCCTGAGCACCGCAGGGGACTTCACGTCCCTCCCTCCTTGCAGGTACCCATCCACCCTCTCCATCCACCCACTCATCCTGTCAGCCTCCCACCCACCCTTCCAACCTCCCACCCCAGTTACCATCATCCCTCCATCTCTCCCGCCTGAGCATTACAGAAGCCCGTGTGGGAAAGCGTGTTGGCTTCCCGGCGTGACGGAGCAAAGGGCCCCTTCCCGTGTCCAGCACCCAGAACACTCATCTTCGGCAGGTCGCTCCGTCCTGTGGCATCTCAGTTTCCCCAGAGCTGCAGGCACAGGAAAGGCCTGTCAGGCCGCTGTGGGGCTGGACCTGCCCCGACCCCCCCCCCCCCCCGCCATGGACCCGTTTCCCTCCGTCAAGAGACCAGCGGCCTGGCAGGCGCGCCCAAGGACACGGGCAGCTGGGGCAGCCCCACGGTCACCAGGGTCCCGGGATGGTGAGAATGTCGCAGACTGGGGCCCCTGGCTCGGCCCTCCAGGGGGCCAGCAGTCTCCTGCCCAGGGCGAAAGACGACACTGACCACCAGTGAGGGAGCTGACTCCCTGGCCGCGAAGGACACGGCCTCCTCAGCTCATCCCCCACCACCACAGCAGCCTCTGACCCCAGGAGACCGGGGAGGCTCGGGCGCGCAGAGCCAGCAGCTGGGCTTGCCTCCTGGACTCCGGCTTTGATCCAGTGTCGAAGCTGCAGCCACTCGCTCTGCATGCGGAGCCCAAGGTTGGTCCCCAGCATGGCCTGGTCCCTGGGCTCACCTTTGGGGACAAGCCCCAGAACAAAGCCAGGAGGGGCCCCTGAGCCCTGCCACTGTGCCCCAGCAGAGCCCGGGCCCCGGCTGGCTGTGGCCTCACCCGTGGGAGCTGGGGCTGCTTTGGCCTCAGGTTTGGGCTTGGGGGTCCCCCTGTGCTGCTCAAGAGCAGACAATGCTGGGGGCAATCCCAGGACCCCAGCGCAAACCATGGCTCAGGCTGAGTGTCCCTGACACCCTCTCGGGGCGCCACACAGCTCACCCCACCCACTCCCCTCAGCGCCAGACCCGCCCGCTGAGGTGGCCGTGCTCAGCCCAGGGTGACCAGCACGAGCCCCCCCACACTGGGCGTGGTGGGGTGCAGCTCACCCCGCACCGAGGCCGCGATGCAGCTGCCCCCTCAGGCCTGTGGGTCAGCTCCATCTGCCGGAAGTGACCAGGACCAGGTTGCTCAGGGCCCGGAAAGGCTGTGGTGGCACTCAGCCAGGGGCTGCGGAGTCACAGAAGGTTCTAGACGGGCCTGTGCTGGCAGCGGCTCTGCTGTGGTCATGCTGCTGCTTGGCTTGTCCCGTGGCGCTGCCATGATGCTCTGGGGTCCTGCGCCAGGACACGGCAGGAGCAGGAGGCGGGGGCCAGGCCTGAGGCAGCTCAGACAGGTCTTGGGGACCCACACTTGCTCGGGCCACCTCCTGAATCTTCCCCTTAAATGGGGGTGGGAGACCAAGGCGCAGGGCAGGGGGCGGAGGGATGGCAAGGGCAGAGGTGCCGTCCTGCCCGGGAGAGCCCCACCACGCAGGCCGGCGAGCACTGAGCTGGGAGGAGCCCTGGGTGTCCTGAGTACCGCCAGGGTCCCTGGTAACTGGGAGCTACACGGAGGGTTCACAGCCCAAGACTGTCTTACTGGAGGGCACATGTGAGAGGAAAAGGCTGCGGCTCCCACAGCCCCTGAACCCTTCCCAGGCCCGTGCCCCCTCGCGCCCCTCAGCCGTCAAGCGCCACCCCAACCCCGCGAGCTCAGGGATGCCCCAACCAGAGCCCTGACCGCCCTGCTACCCAGCGCAGCCACGGAGCCCGCAGGAGCGGGGACACTGGTGGTGCCAGCCGCACCAGGCAGGCGGGAGAGGGGGAGCCTCGGTGTGAATGGGGGTGCTGCGCTCCCCCGGGGGTGGAGGAGGTCGGAATCCCCCTAAGGACGCAGCAGAAAAGGAGCCAGGGCGCATGTCCACGTGCCCCGAAGCAGCCGTCTGGGCCTGGAGCACTGCGCTCAGGGGAACTAGGCCAGGCAGAGGCCAGCCCCCACCCTCTGAGCAACGCACCCTCCAAGGCTCCCCCAACCAGCTGCATCCTTCGGGTGCCAGGACAGGCTCTGTGTTCTCTAGAAAATTCGGGAACTGGGGCCGGAGTGACAGGACAGTGGGGAGAGCGCTGGCCTTGCACACAGCTGACCCAGGTTCAATCCCCAGCACCACATAGGGTCCCCAGGGCACTGCCAGGAGTGAGCCCTGAGCACAGAGCCAGGAGTCTTAAGCACAGAGCCAAGAGTCAGCTCTGAGCACTGTCACTGTCCTCCTGTTGTTCATCGATTTGCTCAAGCGGGCCCAGTAACATTGTGAGACTTGTTGTTACTGTGTTTGGCATATCGAATATGTCACGGGTAGCTTGCCAGGCTTTGCCATGCAGGCAAGATACTCTCGGTAGCTTGCCGGGCTCTTCGAGAGGAACAGAAGAATTGAAGGCAGAGGAATCAAACTCGGTCAGCTGGGTCAGCTGCGTTCAAGGCAAACACCCTACCCGCTGTGCTATCGCTCCAGCTCTGAGCACAGAGCCAGGAATGAGCCTTAAGTATAGAGCCAGGAGTCAGCCCTGAGCAGAACAGGTGTGGTGGCCGGAGCATCCACCTAGTGGCCGCCACTCTTTGGCCTTCCCAAACCTTCCACCAGAAAAGTTTCTGTGACCTCTTTGCACGCCCTCGTCTTCACTGCCTGTGGCCGTGACTGGCCAGATGGCAAGCCCGCACCTCATTGCTCCGGCGCCCGTTTCCCTAGTGGGGTGGCCAGGGGGCTGGGTGGGGGCTTCAGAGCAAGTCTGTCTCCAGTCCCCAAAGCCAGGGCACATGACCTTGGGGGAAGGGTCTCGGGAGCTGTGACCGCCTGAGCTGGCACCGGGGCACCCAGGAGCAGCCACAGAACCCGGCCATCACCACGAGCAGCGGCCAGTGGGCCCTGGACCTCAGCCTGCGGAAGGGGCCCCACGCAGTGCAGGGCCCGGAGTCTGCAGCTGGTACCCAGAGGTTACTCCCTTGTCTTCTCCCTTAGTCCTTAGTCCCTTGTCTTCACCCTCCCCTCATCCTGCCCCTTCCCTTGGGTGGGGTCCCCTGTGTTCCCCCCTCAGAGGTCCTCGGGTGCTTTGTCTGAAAATTCCCCAGTGACACTGGTGGGTTCCTGGACAATTTGTCCCTCAGGTGCTCAGGGGCCCTGCTGGGTGACACAGATGGACATGCCCCACACCCAGGTCCCCAGTGGGTGAGTCCCCACATGGGACTCTGCAGGTGGTGCCCAAGGCTGGGCTGTCGGCTCTGCCCTGCAGGGCTACAGCCCCGTGTGCTGTGCACTTCAGAGGGTCACCCAAGGGTGGGGGCACAATCCCCAAAACACGCCCACATATATGACCCGGAGCCTCTAGGTGGCAGGCACTGCCATTCACCCCAGGCACTCCTGCCTGGACCCAGCTACCAAGAGCGACAGAGACAGGCAGAGAGAGACCTGACCCCAGGGGGAGGGCACAGCTCCAGGCCCAGCCGTGGCAGCAAGCACATATGCATGTTTAACCAGACATGCATGCTTAGTCGAACACACATACGCCTAACCTGGATACACACCTGCCTAGTCCAAAACATGCATGTTCACCCCAGGCACACCTGCCTTACCCAACACACATGTGCGTAAGCATCCTTACCCCAGACGCACATGTGCTAATCACACACACCTGCCGAGCCCGGGCACGTGCCGGACCTGGCTCACACAGGCTGCCCTGGCACAGTGCCCACGGGGGGCATGTCTCTGCATCTTCGAAGCTCTTGCACTCAAGGGGCCTGGGTGCTTTCCGAGGGGGCTACTCTAGGAGTCCGGGAGATTCACAGGCTCTGGGCGCCAGTCTCTGCTCGCCCTCTGCAGAGGGGCTGGGCTGCAGCGCGCCGGGTCTTCTGGATCTCGTGCGCACTTTTGTGTCCCACCTTCCTTCAGCCTCCCTGCAACCAGATTATTTCGGTGGTTTTCGGGTTTATTCTCCCTATGGCGTGGGGAATGGAGGCTTAGCTCTTTTAACTTTTACTCATTTTACTTTCCGTAAGTTTCTCCTGGAAAACAACTTATTTTCTTTCCTTCGGAGCCACTTCGGGCGATGCTCGGGGACTACTCCTGGCTCCGTGCTCAGGCGGGTCGGGGGTGCGGGGGATCGGCCCGGGTCCCAACGAGCGAGGCAAGCTCCGCCTCCAAGCGCCCCCCAGCCACGCCGTGCGTGCATTGTCCTGGAACCCCCGCACCTCGCGCCGTCACGCTCGCCAAGAGACCCCGCCCGCCTGCTCCCGGGGGTCAGCGTCCAGAGCAGCACGGGCGGCACGCGGGACCCGGGCTCGGCGGGCGCCGCAATGCCTGAGCATCGATGGCTCGGTGCTCTGCTGCCACGCCTGCGCTGCCATGGCGACGCGCCCCGCCCCGGAAGCCCCGGGAGGCCCCGCCCCCGCCCGCGGCGCTCCGCTGCGCGCGGACCCGACTGCGGGCGGCGGGGAGGGGCCGCGGCGGGTGGACACGCGGGACGAGCGCGGGTAACGGGGCGGGCGCTGGGGACGCGGGCGGGGCGGCGGGGGCTGGGCGCGTCCCGGGACGCCCTCCGCTGACCGCGGCTTCCCCGGCGCAGGGCGACCCTTCCCGGACGCGGCGCGGACGCCGCTCGCCGCCGCCAGCCGTCGGGACCCCGCCGGAGACCCCCGCGAGGCGCCGCGCCTCCCGGCGGCACCGATGGGGGCGCGCGGCCCTCGGGGGCCGGAGCCCGCACGCGGCTGCCCGAGGCCCGGCCGCGCCGCGCCGCCCGCCCCGCGCGGGCGCCTGGGCCGTGTCCGCGCGCCCCCCGGGGCCCGCGCCGCCAGGGGCTGAGACCCCGGGCCGGCGGGCCCCGGCATGGGCGGCCGCGCGCCGCTGGCCGAGCTGGCCCTGTCGGAGGCCCACGCGCGGCTGCGATACCGGGACACGTCCCTGGCCGTGTGGCAGCAGCAGCAGCGGCAGCTGGAGGCGGGGCCGCCCGGGACCTACCTGAGCCGCAGCCGCAGCATGTGGTACTCGCAGTACGGCAACGAGGCCATCCTGGTCAGGGACAGGAGCAAGGGCCACGCGTCCAGGGACACGGGCCAGTCCAGGTTCTGCACCGTGATGTGACTGCGGGGAGCGGCAGCGAGCCGGCCCGAGGCTCTCGCCCCCACCCAGCGCCGGGGAAGGGGCTGCTGGGGGCGCGCCGGGCACCCAAGCCCTGCTGGTTCTCCACACCACGCTGGTGCCCCCGCGCCAGCCTCCACCTGTGTGGCTGCAGGGTGGAGGCAGGCGAAGCCTCCAGGGTGGCTTCGGGGCCGAGGCCCGCGTGGCCGGGGCACCCAGGCAACCCCAGCCGAGGCCAGCGTAGCCCTGAGCACCCAGGCAACCCCAGCCGAGGCCAGCGTCGCCCGGGGCACCCAGGCAGTCACAGCCAAGTGCCCAAGGCCGCCCCCGGGCACGGTCTTGATCTGCAGTGTCACCGGGCAGGCTTTGTCGCCTCACAGCTGTGAAGATGGATTGTCTCTCACCTGGGTTCCCTTTCCCAAATAAACGCCCTCTGCGTCCCTTTCTCGCACACGTGTCTGGTCCCAACCAGTCGGAGACGGTGTTCAGTGGAGACTGCAAGGATCTGTGGGTGCAGGATGCCCCTCCAGGGAGAAGTTCAGCTCCCCCCGGGGGCCAGCTCCCCACAGGAGGTCCCTGCAGCGACCCTGAGACAGGTGTGGGGCACCTTGGCAGCTCCGCTCTGATGCCTGGGGGACTCAGCCTCAGGGACACTGCAGTCCCCACCTCAGAGGCTGGGCAGCTCTCTCGGGGTGCTGGACAGCACTGGCCGAGGTGGGAGACGCAGTGTGGGGGTCCCAATGTGCTTCACCGGGCACATTGCTTTGGGCAGCCCGGTGGGTTCCTGTGGATCAGAGCTTATCACGGGGAGGCGGGGACACCAGCTGCAGAGAACTGGGACCCTTGCAGTACCGCGGGGGCCAAGGATTGAACCTGTGGCACTGTCAGTGCAGCCACAAGAACCCCAAGTTCTTTAGAAACGAGCTCCCAGGGCCCCAGACAGCACATATGCAAGCACCCGGTCAGCCTGTCTGACCCCCGCACTTTCTGTCCCAAGTGCCACTGTAAGGACCCGACAACCCCGCAGCACTGCTGGCACCAGAGAACTGTCATTGGAACCATCAGGACCTGACCCCCTGGGCCTCCAGAACCCCGGGGGGCTGTCACAGAGCCACCTTGCAGGCTGAGGGCCCCCCACAGAAGGGCTTGTGGATTCTCTGGGGATGGAGGGTGGTCCCATCACAGTGGCATTAGAGGCGTGCAGGGAGGTGACCCTTCCACAGATGCTCAGGAGGCTGCCCACACACACCTTTGGGAGATGCACAGACACCTTTGTTTTTGTAATTTTCATTAAGAAAACAAAACAAACGTCCCAGGAGAAGGGCCCGCTGGAGACAGCAGTTCCTGCCACCTTCACTTTCCCGGAGGCCACCACGGCAGGGACGCCCGCCAGCATCACGGGCACTTGCGTGCTCACCACACAGGAGTAACATGGGGGATGTGGAAGCCTCCTGGAGGTGTCACCCGCACCGCCGGAAACAAAACCCACAACCAACAGAAACAGATGGACATGACAGTCCAGACACGGGAGGGAGCTACCGCAGGCAGGAGAGGCCCGGCCAGTAGGGACCGGCTGCCCGCAGGGTTGAAGCTGGACCCCCATGCCTGGATGACAACCGAGGCCCCCCCAGCCCAGCAGGCAAGCCATGGCACAGGAACCCTTCCCGTAGTTCTGGGGTCCCCCATCCCATGCACCCCACAGGGGCCCTGGCGGGCTCCTGCCTGGCCGCGTCTGCACCGAGTCCTGACTCGGGTGATTTAGAAAATACCTTTGAAAAAAGGGGGAAACAAATTTAAATCCGCTGGTATTTTTATTACAAACTGATTCAAGTGTTCCAGGTCAATGCATTGGCGCTGCCTGTGTGCCAGCATGAGGCTTCCTAGCAGGGGTGGGGTCCCATGTGCAGTCCAAGGGTCCACACCCCGAGGTGTGACATGCCCACTCCCCACTCTGAAGCTCGGCAGAAGGGTGGGCAGCTGCAGCCCCCTCCCGGGAGGCCCAACAACAGCCCTAAACCGGGGACATCTGGGGTGAGGGGGGCCATGTGCCTGCAGGGGAACCCTGGCACCCAGGGGTCCTTGGGTCCTCCGTTCCCTGGGGAGCCGTGGCAGGATGAGAGGCCCCCTCACTGTTTGGCCAGGGGCAACCTCGAGAAGAAAAGAGCCGAGAGCCTTGTGGTAAAGCCCATGTATTATTATTGTCATCTGTTTTTACAATAGAAAGTTAAATGCCAAGGCTTAGAATGCTGTACAGCTTCCCTCGGATTACAAAGTTTCTATCTTGTAACTGGGTCCCTACAGGTGTCCTGGAGAGGATCCCAGGGACCAAGAGTAAGAGCAGAACCAAAACACTGAGCACTGTGTCCCGGGCGCCTGTGTGGGCCCACTAGCACCTGGGTGAGAGGCCCGGCTGGCGGCAGGGGCCTGTCCGCGCTGTGCCTCTCCACAACACGTTTCTTTTGTGTTTTTTTTTCTTTTTTTAAAAAATGACCAATGCTGATAATAAATAAAGGCTCGTATGTACATGAACTCAGGAGGTGGATCCGGAGCGTGAGCAGAGGTGGCGCCAATGGTGGCCACCCTCAGGGGCTTGCGTAGAAAAGTTGCTGAACCTTACAAAAAAAGTCTTTATTTTTTTATCTTCTTTTTTTTTCAAAGTTGAGGTAAGAGTTTCAGTGTCTGGAAACCTGTGTACAACCCCACCCGTGGCAGGCGGTCAGCCCGGGCCGCCCAAAGGTCAGCACCTGTCCGCAGCCCGAGGGACACGCTCTCGGGGTCCGGGGGTCTGCAGACGCCTTCCGGCGGGACCCCAGTTGAGGGGGGATCAGGCCTCACTCCGAGTCGCTGCTGTCCGAGCTGGAGCCACTGGAGCTGCTGCTGCCGGACTCGGATGAGCTGCTGCTGCTGAGGCGGGAGGGGCCTCCCGCTGGCGCTGAGCCTGGCTTGTCTGCGGAGACACACACACACACACACACACACACACACACACACACACACTCGTGAGCAGTCCGCCCCCAGGGGCCAGGCTCAGAGCCCTGGCGGGGGCTGGGGCACCCAACTGCCCCCACCCCACCTCCCTCCCTGCAGTAATTCAGGGGAAGGGCCGGCTTCCCCTGAGGATATGTGGGAGCACTGCTGAGCTGTTCATCCCACCCGCCCACAGCCCCGCAGGGCATCGGAACCACATGGACCCCCCAGCCTGCCCTTCCTCCCAGGCTCCCGAAGTCCTCAGGATTGTAATGGACACCCACCGCTGACCCAGTCAGCAGAGCCAACCCAGCCGGGAAGGGTTGCCAGACAGGACACGTGACCTACTGGCAGGCCCCCCACACACATTGACGGGACGGGCCCGAGCCATGGGGCGCCCTCGGCCCCGCCTCTTTGACCCGGCCCGCGGCGGTGCGGCACCTTTCCGGGGGGTCTTCTTACTGAGCTGCCCGCTGACGTCCTGCAGCCGCTGTTCCAGCTCCTTCTTCTTCTCCTGCGCCAGCTCCTCCTTGGATCTGGCCACCGGCTTCTTCCCGCTCGCGGCTGCGGGAGGACAGGGTGAGCTGGGCTGCACGTGGGGCCGGCACCCTGCACCCCCCGCCCGCCTGCCTGAGGCTCACACGGGCCCGACCCAGGGACCCCTGAGCACTTGGGGCTGAGCACTGAGGGGCCCCGGCTCTCCCCGCTGGAGCCACCTCGGAGGGCCCGCGCCACACCCCCCCCCCCCCCCCCCCCCCCGCCACGGCGCCCACCCGGCGGCTTCCGCTGCTTCCGCTGCAGGCAGGACTTGACGTAGCGCTCGAGCTCACGCAGTGTCGTGGGCTTGAGTGTCTCGAAGTCGATCTCGATCTCGTCGGGGTTGGAGTCGCGCAGCGAGGGCTCGCGGGACTGGATGATGTGCACCACGCGGCCCAGCTTCTCCCCGGGCAGCCGGTTGATGTCCAGGCTGAGCTGCCGCTTCTCGTCGTAGCTCATGGGCAGCCCCTCCTCCTCCTCCTCCGAGTCGTAGGAGCCCGACGCCTGCTTGCCGCCCTTCTTGGGCTGCCTGTGGGCGGACATGGCCATGGTGGGCTGCCCTGGGCCCCACGACCCGAACCCCGGGGGCGCGGCACGACATGCACGGAGGACAAGGGGACAGGGCGGCTCGGGCCCGGTGGGGCACACGGCTGGCCGCCCCCGCCCGCGGGCCCCACGTGGGCGCACCTGCCGGCCGGGGTGGTGCTGCTGGCCTTCTTGGCGGGGGCCTTCTTCGGGGGGCCCTGGCGGGCGGGTGGCGCCGGCCGGGCTTTCCTGTCATCCTCGCCCTTGGTCTTGTGCCGCTCCTTGTCCTTGTCCTTGTCCTTGCGCTTCTTCTCCTTCTCCTTCTTCTCCTTCTTCCTCTTTGGCTTGTTCACGGGGGCCTGGGACAGCGCGGCCAGCTGCTCGTGCACGGCCTTCAGCTGCGGGGACACAGAGGGCGCTCAGCACGGGCAGAGCCACGAAACCCAGCCCCTCGCCGCCTGTGCCCAGCCTCCAGCCCTCCGCAGGGTGCCAACGGCACTGGCTCCTGAGACAAGCCCGCAGGGGACGCGAGTCCAGTGACGGCAGGGCCCGGAAAGAAAAGCCACAGCGCCCGGGATGGGCCCAGTCGTCACCTGCTCCTGCAGCTCCGCCAGCCGCGTAGCACGTTCCTCCTCTGAGTCAGAGCTGCCCGAGTCCGACGAGCTCTCTGCGCTGCTGTGGCTGCTGTCCCCGCCCTTGCTGGTGGCCGGGGCTGTGGGTGCGGGCACGGCGGGCACCTCCGCGGGCTCGTCCGGCATCTTAGCAAAGCGCATCTCAAACACATCCTGTGGAGGGCGAGCGCCTGAGGACTGCCCCTGTCCCGCCAGCCCCCACACCCGTCCCAGCCGACCCCGCGTGCCACCCCCCAGCCAACCCCTGCACCCATCCCCAATCGACCCCAGGCGCACCCACCTCAGAGTCCGTCCTATGCGTCCCCCCATCCTCAGCTGACCCCAATCACCCCCCGACTCCCCCCAGATGACCCCACCTGCCTTCCACCCTCCCAGCAGTTTCTCGGCCCTGGGCCCTCTCCTGGCTGTACCCCCAGGACCCCCGTGTCTGTCTCTGAGCTGGAAACCCTCAGCAGCCCCCCACAGTGCCCCTGACCTCAGGTGTGTCCCACCTCACCCTGCGTTAGGACCCAGACTCATCAGGTGGCCACAGGCAAAGGGACCCGGGCTCCAGGCTCCATGGGCTCCCACAGGGCACTCAGACAGGGAGCCCCAACACGGAGCAGACAAGCGGCCACGTGGACACCAAATATCCGCACGTCCAGATTCAGAAGCTAGGCCGCCCCGCCCGCCCCCCCCCCAGGCCTCCCAGCCCAGGCCCTGCGAGTGGCCGGCCGAGTGCTGTCCACATCTGGAGTGGGCAGCCTACAGTGCCACCTGCCACCCCCTCCCTGCCACCCCACCTGACTCCTCGGCACCTGTGGGGTCTGGGGCGCTCCCAGGCCGAGCAGCCGCAAACCCCCCGGGCCAGGCTCCATGTGTGAGGCCCCATGGCCAGAGCCCCCGCACCTGTGGCTCTGGGGACAGCGGGGTCCACGCGGGAGGCTCGCTGTGAGTGGCCCGGAGCGCCTCCCGGACCCAGCTCCACAGCTGCCTCCCTGCCTCGGTGCCCTCCCCAGGCACATGCAGAGTCCCTGGCCACGTCCTCCCCGCTGCCTGCCCTGAGGGCCCGCTCAGCCCGCAAGCCTGAAAGCCCGTTACCTGCAGCTTCCTGGCCATGGCCACCACCTCGTGGTCAGGTGGGTTATACTTGTAGCAATTGGAAAACATCAACCGGATGTCAGCTGCGAAGCCCTGGGCATCGGGATACTCGCGGCTGTCCATCTTCTTCTGCAACAGTCACAGTGAGGCCGTGAGAGAGAGGCGAGCCCGACCCTGGAGCCCGAGTGCCGTCATGGTGGGCACCAGGAGCCCCGGGCCACTGAGCCGCACGGGCGCCCCCCCGCCCCGCCCCGGCGGCTACCTTGACGGTGCTGAGGTCCATGGGGTGCTTGATGATGTCGTGGTAGTCGTGCAGCTCGAGCGCTGCGGCGTCCACAGGCTTGTAGAAGGGCCAGGCGTAGGCCGCATGCTTCTTGGACAGCAGCTCACGGAGAATGTGGTCGCAGTGGCGCAGCTGCTCGGGCAGCTTCCCCTTCTTGCCCGCGTGCTGCGGCACCTCGCCGTCCTCCAGGTCCTTGCGGGGCGGCTTGATGGGGCGGCCGCCGCTCTCCCGCCGGGCCACCACTTTGGCGTGCTTGGGGTCTGGCAGCGGCGGGGGCGACTCGCCACGGCTGGCGGTGATGGCCGACGTGGTGGGCGTGGTGGTGTCTGCTTTCCGCTTCACGCCCTTCTTCTGCGGGCGAGCGGAGAGCAGCTGTGAGGGGCCACACCGGCACGGCCTCCGGGCGCCCACCACCTGCCGGCACCCAGCAAGCGAGGGCATGCAGGGTCAGACGGCCGGGGAGGGCACGGGCCGGGCGCTGGCCGAGACCCCACCCTGGCCACCCCCCTCGGGGATGGCGCTCACCACACCTGAACAGCGAGAGGCACACATGCAGCCCCCGCGGGCCAGCAGGGCCTGCGGCCACCAAGCAGGGCACCAGCTGGGGGGTCCTGGTGCTCAAGGCTGGCCAGCAGCCCCTGACCTGGCCTCACGTCTCGCTGCGAGAGACCCCGATGGGCAGGCAGGGCCGGGGTCCCCAGCACAGCAGGTGGGGAGCTCGGCCGAGGGTGCAGGGCTGCACGGGGCCTCCCAGAGGCCAGCAGGTGGGACCCGAGGGCAGGTCCCTGATCGAGGACAGCCGCCCGGGGACGGGGGGTGGGGTGGGGGGGCTGGGGGCGTCTCTGGCCCGGGGCCAACTCGGGCACCACCAGGGCACAGACGTGCAGTCCACGGTGCCACGCCGCTGCCCAGCCCGGCCGCTGCCCCCGGCTCCCGCACACAGCGCCAGGGCTCCGCGGGGGCCACGGTGGACGGGCCATGCTCTGGGGCAGCGCGGCGGTGCGGAGTGGACGGCCGGCCGGCGCCCCCGAGTGCAGGCAGTGAGCCACGGGAGGGGAGCACAGACGTGGCGTTACCTTGGGAGAACCACTTAACCCCTCTGAGCGCCTGCTTCCTCCTCTGTAACGGGGCGCAAATACTGTGTGCCCCAGAGGGTCACTCGCTGTGAGGGTCAAACCGGAGAAGATGTCAGAGCCGGCGGGGTCAGGGGTCGGGGGTCAGGGGTCACTGCCCTCACAGAACTGCCCCTGTACCCAGGCCCGGCCGGGACAGCCCTGCCCAGTGCGCATGCTGACGGGTGCTGGCTTGGTTCCTCACCACACGGCCTCCTGGCCGCCACTGGAAGTCGGGGTCCCCAGCCCCCCAGCCCCCAGCAGGGCGCCTGGGGCTAAGTGTACCCACCCTCACCAGCTGTGCGGCCTTCAGCTCCGAGCCCCGGACTCCAGCGCTGGTCAGGAGCAGGGCCCCTCAAAGGCTGGCCAAGTGGCCAGAACCCCCCACCTCGTACCCGGGGATGCTCACCTTGACCACGGGCGGTGTGGGAGGGACCACGGGGATGACGGGCGTCGCGGGGGGCGGCGGGGCGGCAGCAGGGGGCGCGGGAACTGACGTGACATTTGCGGTGATGGTTGGCACGGGCGTGGCAGCGAGGACGGGCGTCTGGGAGACCGTGGGGGGCGCGTTCTGAAAGGGGGTCGCTGGGGAGGCGGAGGACACAGCTGCCACTTGCTGCGTGCCTTTGGGGGAGAGAGAGAAGGTGACACTTCCCGACGCTCCCTGCGCCCTCCCTGACCCCTGGCTGTGCCTCAGCCGTGACCTCCCACCCTGAGTCTGAGAAAGAGAGCAGGGTCAGGTGGCCCTGAAGGACCCCAGGCTCCCGCGGTCTCTCCCTCTGGACAGCCTTCCGCCCCGCACCCGGTCCCGGCAGACAGCCGGCCCTCTCCCATCTCAGTACCCGCTGGAAGCTTCTGGAAGTGCAGCATGTCTGTGCACGCACACCTACACACCTCTAAGGAAAGTTCTAGAAGCAGGGTGGGAGCGTGTGCGTGCTCTGGAAGCACGTGTGAGCGTGCCAGTGCTCGATCTCGGCAGGACCATGTGACCCTCCCCAGAGCAGACAGAAAGGGCCACGGCGCGCTTGGCGTCACTGGCCGGGCAGGAGGCAGGGGGCGCTGTCGCTACCTGTGCTCTGGACGGCCGCAGCCGGCTTCCGGCCTTTGCCCTTTGGAGCTGGGGGCAGCAACTCCACTTCCTCCTGGGGCATCTGGGCCACTTTCTGCAGGAAGATCTTCTCCAGGGCCTGGGCCATCAGCACAATGTCATCTGCGGGCTGAGCACGGCGAGTGTGAGGTGACAGGCAGGGGCCCCTTCCCTCCCACTGAAACACCAACCCACAAGAGTGGGGCCGTAGGGGGCTCCGCGGCAGCGCCCTGGGGACGCTACCACATCCAGCAGCTCCCCTCGCACATGGGGCGAGCTGGAGGCGCTGGTGCCCACCTTGTTGTAGATGTAGCAGTTGGTGAACATGGTGTTGAAGTCCTGCATGCACTCGCTGGCACTCCAGTAGTAGCTGTTCTCCAGCCGCTTCTTGATTGTCCCCATGTCCATGGGGTTCTTGATTATCTTGTGATAATCCTAGGAGGGACAGGGCTGAGTCCTGGGGCTGGTTGGCGTCCCTGCTCCCACCCCCGGGTGTGTGGCCGTGCCGGCGGCCAGCGTGGTCTCCTGGGCCGCCCCCCCACAGGAGCCTGGACACCAGCTCCGCTCCCCACTGCCCACAGCCTGGGGCTCTGCCAGGCACAGGTAACGGCGCTGAGCTGCCTCTCAGACCCAGGGCCCGGAAGTAGCCAGGGACCGTGCTGGGCACAAGACTGCCCAGTCAACTGAAGGCCTCCCACCCCAGGTCAAAGGAAGACGACAGGCAGCCCCCGGCATGGGGCCCTTTCGAGTCGCCCTCCCGCAGCCTCCCCGCGGGCCCTGGCGCCCACCCACCGGCAGGTTGAGCTTGATGGCGTCCACGGGCTGGTAGAACGGCCAGGCGAACTGGTGCTTCCACAGCGTCTTCACCACCACGTTCTGCATGTACTGCAGCTGGTTGGTCTTGCGGCCCGGCTTCCCAGCGCTGCACACCTCAGGCGGCGGCGGGTTGGCGGGCCCCGGGGCTGCCGGCAGGCCCGCGGGGGCAGCTGTGGTGGCCGTGGACATTGTCCGGCTGTTCCTCACTGGCCGTCACAGCAAGAGACACTCGGGGGGCGCCAGGCCTTCTGTGAGCTTCCCGCGGGCGGGCAGCAGTCCATGTCTGGGCACTCCAGGCGGCACCTAGGCAGGGGTGGGCAGCGGTCACTCCCTCCCGGCGACGTGGGCGACTTTCCGTGGGCACAGCTGGGTGTGGGAGGGAGCGACGAGGGGCTCTCCTCAGCAGAAATCAGCTCTGGTTTGTGACGGGGTGGGGAGTTCAATCAAGAAGGTGCGGGGACATGGAGGGGACCAGGAGTGCCCTGGTCACGTGGACCCACTTCCTGCCACTCGCCTGGAGCTCAAAGCAGGCTGCAGGCAGCCCTGGGGAGTGGCGGCTTCTCCTCTAGTCGGGGGCGTCCACGCAGGAAACGTGCCCAGGCTGAGGAGGGCACCCGCTTGTCCCTGGGTGAGAGCCCACCCAGCCTCTAAGGGGCCCCAGGCCCCCCCCCAGATACCCACACCATCCCCACACCACTGCTGAAACAGGGAGCCCAAGATACAGCTCTTTGCCTCAGCTCCCCCTGACAGAGGGTGTCGTACGGGGGGCTCCAAGTTCCTCCTGCCTCAACAGTGGGGCTCATCTCTGGGAGGACCCCTCCCCAGGGGACATGCGGGGCCCCCAGACAGGCCCATCCGATCCCCAAGAGAGAAGGTGCTGAGACAGACACCAGTCATAAATCTGAGGGGCACAGCCTGAGGTGCTGGCTCCATGTGGGCTGGGGGTACACGGAACCCAGCTCGGCCCCTGAACCAGTTTTCTGAAGAGCCTCCCTGGCAAGGATAGGGCTTCTACACGAATATATATGGTAGTTGTGGGGCTCCTGCACAAATAAACATGGTAACCCTAAGACGCCCAAGGACTTCTCTGGAAACTGGTGTCTACGCCAATGAATAAATGAATACAGCACTTCTGGGACTCCCGCCTGCTTTCTAGGATTGCGCATCTATACTGGCAAATACGGTTCCCAGGAATCCTGGCTGGCCACTGCAGTTCACTGCTCAGAACTGGAACACTTTGATGAAGCGGGATTGGGTAGAAACGGGACCCACCCAGACTGCTCAGTGGCACAGTCCCCCCAACCCAGCGGCACCAGCCAAAGGAAGAGGGTGAAGAGTGAACCCGGTGCCTGAAGTGCCCAGGACCCTGCACCCCAGCAGGAAGGACCCAGTGTGGGGCTTCAGGTGGGACCATCTGGGCCAGGGGGCCCAGAGTGGCCGGAGACCCAGTGCCCACGCTAGATCCCAAACAGACGAAAGAGGTGGGGCTGAAGGCGGGAGCAAGCGCAGAGGGCCACCAGTGTCCCTGCGGCTCCCCCAGGTCCAAGGCTCAGGGACTGCAGGCCCGGGGGAGCACAGCGCGCACCAGGCTGCCTGGAGTTGGGGCGGGGGCGGGGGGCCTGCACACGTGTGCAGACGGAGCTCTGCATGAACCCAGGTGTCAGAGACGCAGGAGAGGCTCCCGCCTTGGGGGCAGGGGGAGGGCTCACCGCCCCAAGGCCAACTGCAGCCTGGCTCCTGCCCAGGGGAGGTTGAGCCTCAAGTCCCTGTTCCCAGCCCGTTCAGCTCAATAGCACAGGGTCAAAGTCCAGAGAGAAGTCCAGCTGCCCCGGACAGATGGACACACAAACCAGGCAAGGTCCCCCCCATGGCCAGGGCAGTGGGAGGTGGCCCAGGGTCCCCAGCTATAGGCGCCCCCCACCGGGAGCCCTCACGGGAAGCGGCTGGCTCCAGGCCACACTCTCCTCTGGAAGCGGCAGGCCAGAGAGACCCCAGGTGAAGCCCCGCCTCATCCCCGCTTAACGCCCGCCAGGCCTGCCAGACACAACCATTACCAGCACGGGACCCACCCGCCATGGAAGCCCTGAGGCACCCCCCACACACACACACACACAGAACACTCACACATACACGGAGCACGTGCACACAGACTGAGCAGGCACACGAACACACACACTGAGCACGGACATACATACTAGGCACATGCACGCAGACCGAGCAAGCGCACAGACACATACATGTGCACACATACTAAGCACACACACTAAGCACACAGAGCAATGCACACACATGCACACACATACTGAACACACACACCGAGCACCACAGAGCACTTGCACAGACTGAGCATGCACAAATGGAGTACACGCACACGTGAAACACATACACACATATAATGAGCACGTGCACAGACTGAGCAAGTGCAAAGACACATACGTGTGCACACATACTAAGCGCACACACGCGGACACACATACTGAGCACACACACGGAGCACCACAGACGAGGGCACACACACACAGACTGAGCACGCACAAATGGAGTACACGCAAACGTGAAGCACATACACACATATAACGAGCACGCATACGGACACACACACCAAGCATGTACACGAAGCACAGATAGAGTACATGCACACATGAAGCACATGCACACACATAATGCACATGCACAAGGAGCACACATGCACAGTGCCAGCAGCTGACCCAGGAGGGCAGGCGAGTGTCCCCAGAACAGGCCCTTGATTCTGGCTAGGCAGAGACGACCACCTGGGCTCTGCAGGGACCTTGCTGGGCGGAGAGGGGTTTCTGGGGAGCACAGCTTGCCCCGGGAGCCACACAGGACACTCGCTTTCCCTGCCCAGGTGCATGTGTCCGGAATGGAAGGAAGTGAGGGCGAGTCCCCTCACCACTGAAGTCGAGGAGGAGGGGCGGGACCCTGAACTCTGTCTCCGGCCCCACTTCATCCCTGCCTCCCACCCCAGGGGCAGCTGCAGCACCGGAACCCTCCTCCGTCCCTACCCCTGCCCCCCCACCCCCCGCAATGACCCACAGCCCCAAAGTCTCCCTGCCAGCAGCTCAAAAGGCCCCTCACTGCCGAACCTTTGAACACCAACAAAACCAGCGCTGCCCTGAAAGGGTGACACCATCAGTCTCTGGGACATGCACACGCTACACAAACACATACACAAACATGCACTAACACACATACACAACACGCACTTACATATATACACAAACATGCACTCACACACTGACACATACTCACGTGCCTACAAACATGCATTCACACACAAACACAGACATTCCCATGTGCAAACACATACTTGGCACACTCCAACACACATGGCAACAAATCTGGCCCAGCACCCACAAGCCCAAACATGGTGCTGCCCCCGGACGCGCCCTGGAGACCCTCAGATCACGAAGGTGCCCACGGGTCCTGGAACGGGTCAGTAGTCACACACACTCAGGCTGCTCCTGTCAGCACTGAGTTTGCCCTGACCACGGCACTTTCCAGAACAAAGCCGAGACGCTGCCAGTGGGCAGCCCCCAGCAGCACCTGCAACCACCCTCCTCCCCAGGGGCCTGGGCCATCCTGCAGGAACCTGGGGCAGACACGCCCACTGCCACCTCATACCCAGCACCCCCACCGGGCAGTTGAGCCTGAAGCCCAAAAGCGGCGCCAGGGGCCCCGTCCGAGCACCGTGAGCACAGCCCTGCCCCACGGTGGGCTCCGATGGGCCAGGCCTGGTTGGGAGGGGTGCTCAGGCATGTGGGGGCCCAACACCACCAGGAGGGGCTCCCTGAGGCCAGCCCACCTCAGGTCTGGCCACTGGCACCATCACCAGGCCTCCAGACACCACGGCCCCAGAGGAGTGTCCTGGGAGCAGCTACCCAGGCTGTGGCCAAGTCCCCAGGGCCCACCCACAGCAGATCCCACACCCCACATCTGGGCCCAGGGACAGGGGAGGACATGCGATCCCCAGCAGAAACGGGCTCTGCTGCCTCCCTGCGAGGCTGAGGCAGGGGTCCGGGGTGCGGCTCTTGCAGGAGCTAAAGCCCACTGTGCCCACACAGCCACCTGGGGACTCCTCCCAGCACTGACCCTACCAACTTCGCCACCTTCAATGGGCCACTGAACCCCACAGCAGAGTCCAGATATGAGCCCAGGACCCAAGGTGCCTCGGCAGGGTCTGGGTCTCCCCACACCCCCGCCCTGCCCCAGAGCCAGAATCGCCTTGCCAGACCCAGCTAAGATTCTGTTGGATCTTGGGGTTCTGGGGAGCCGGGCACATAATACAGCACGTGGGGCACTTGTCTTGCACGTAGCCAATCGGGGTTCAATCCCCCGCATCCCCCACGGTCCCCCAGGCCAGCCAGGAGTGATCCCTGAGCGCCCTGGGTATGGTCGCAGGGCAGAAATAAAATCAGTCCAACTGGGTTCTGGGGCCGGAGACAGCGCGGGGCAGGCACTTGTCCAGCGCGTGGTCAAGCCAGGTTCAACACCCCGGACGCCCCCCACACCCGTCCTCCTGGTGTGACCTCTGTGGCTCGCCCCCCCCAGGAAAAACTCGGGTTCGGAGCCCCAGGGGAGAGCACGGGGGTCCTGAGCCGACGCGCCATCCCCCAGCGGCTGCGGAGGGCGCGGGGCTGCAGGCCCAGGAGCTGCCGCCGGGCGCCGGGCCACGGGGAAGCAGGAAGCGAGCGCGGGGCTCCGCGGCCACCGGCCAGCGCGGGCGGGACACTCGCAGGCTTTCACTTTCCGCACCCCGCGGGGCGGGGCCGTGTTTACCAGCGCCCACTTGGCTCCCGCTCGCGGCCAGCACGCCAACTTCCCACTAGGCCCGGGGGACCCCCTTCCCCAGCTCTCAGCACACAGGAGGCAGCAAAGGGCAAACGCAAGAGCTTTTATTTGCAAACGAGGGGCGCCCCGGGAGGGGAAGGGGGTGCCTAAGTGGGCCGGGAACCAAAGCTCCCCGCGCCCCCAGCCCCGGCAGGGCCGCGGGCCGCACGCCGCCCGGGCCCAGACAAAGTTTGCCGGGCGGGGGAGGGGCGCGGGCTCCGCATTCCTTCCTGCCCGCCGCCCGCCCGCCCTCCGCCCCGCGCCCCCCGCCCCTGCCCGCGGCCACGGGGCCCCACGCCCGCCCGCGCCGCAGCGTCCGGCGCGGGAGGACCGCGGGCCGCCCGGGGCGCGGGGCCTCGCCAGCGCCCACCGCGCGCGGGAGGGGCTCGCCCCCGCGCCCCCGGCCCCGACTGCGCCCGCCCGAGCGGCCGCCGCTCTTCGGGCGCGCTCCTGGG